TTATTCTACTATGTTTAACCCTATCGAAGATGAAACTTGCGATATTGTTATCTCTAGTCCAAGCACCGCCAACCTAGATAACATTTGTAATAAGATATCAGTATCCTTAGATAGTCAAACAGTTTATCTCTGTTAAATTGTAATATTTGACTTAATTTTTTTGTGAAACACCCACTATTTCCATTTCTCATTGTAGTCTAATTTATGAAATTTATTTAATTCAATTGAAAGCTTGTTAACTCTGTACAAATAGCAATTAATACCATTATTATTATTAATATTATTATTATTATTATTATTATTATTATTATTAGTAGTAGTAGTAGTAGTAGTAGTAATATGAGTCTATAGATAGTCATCAATAATAGTTTTGCTACTACTAAATAAAGCAACTTACCTACTATAAAAAGCGTAGGATTGTGCTCCAGTGTTACATATGTAAAACAAAAAAGTATGTATTGTTTGTGTAAAATTGACTATTGTTAACAATGTTCAAAAAACGATGTTTTGTTTACTTTAAAATATATCAGGTTTTGTCAATAGTTCAATTCAGTTTTGTTTATCATAGTAATCAACCACACTTTCAGATTTCATGGGAAGTATTTATTCTATGTACACTATAGGTATCATTACCAGGGTTTGATTTGATAATTTCGAATAAATTGAGCATTGGGTTGATTGTTATAAATAAATAATATATTTGTAATATCCCAATGATATTACAAATATATTATTTATTTATATGTACATTATAGTTGAATAATATAATAAACAAGGTTTTATTGAATTGGAATGTGGTATAGAAAATTGATTTTCTTTCGTTTCATATGATATGTAATCCTATTTTATGGAGGAGTAATAATATAACTCAGTAAATTAATCATATTTGTTCATTATAACCGTTTACGATATCGTAAACCTAAGTTCATATACTAAGTTATTGGTAATTTATCATGTCAAATAATACTCAGTTTGGTTTATGTTAAACTGATTATCAAGTTGTGTGACAAAACACATATAAATCAGTGTATTTAGATCGTTTTGATTTATTTTTTATGTACAATAGATCGTCATCTGTCATCCTCGTCTTAATACTTGCGTGAAAAGAGCTCTACGGTTTTCATTAGCAAGTTCGAGTTCTCTGCAGTTTATGTCATTAGTCCATCGTTGTAAATACCAACACGTTTGAAACGTAAGTCAACTGGTATATTAATATATTTTTCCATCAGATAACATTACAGTTCTTGACTAAAAAAACCTAAAATTAATAATAGTAATGTGATTGCAGCTACCATCTTACAATAATTCTGACAGTTGATTTTATAGTTAATAGAAAGAGAAATTAAGACATGATTCAAACATACTAGGTTGAGAATATTTCCTTTACCACTGTGAAATGCACATACAAAGAAAACTGATGTACAACTTTACCTAGGTTGGGAATATTTTGTCTACTGATTTTGTTCTACTCTGATAATCAATTCCACACCTTGAAACTCAGTGCACGGTACTTCTTTAAATAATATACTTATCATTAACTTCAATGCAGTTATATGTCTTATTCTTTGACCTTAACCATCTCTTTCATTGTTCATTTAACATCTATATTAAAATGTCGACAAAAACAGACAATATTAATCTTAGTTTTACTTGTAAACAGTTAATTTCACCAGTTTAATGGTAGGCACCAAATGTGATTTGAATTAGCCAGTACGTAAATATTATGCTAATAAAAATGAATACAGTAATATCATATGATAGTCATATGACTGGAATTCACATCGCCTAAATACAAAATGATAAACAAAAATGTAGAATAAATGAAGGATTTTTGTTTTTATTAAGTTGGTAGTGACACTAACTTGGGTATATTTTAGTAAATAGTAAACATTAAAGTTAGGATTTGACTCAGTGAGTTGTAGAAATTAGTTAAATTAGAAAATGGTCTTCATCGGTGGCTGATGTCAGATGGAGAACCAATAACATCATCACCCATCCATGAACCCATCAGGGATTGCACAAGCGTATTTAGGTCTTAAAACGATTAAACTATCTTCAGACCATTGACTTGTTTTCAGGATTTCATAATTTTGAATTCATTTTATTCGTGATAGGGCGCAACAATTTTCTAATACCGTCGGTGGATTATCGCCTCATTTTGAATATTGTCAACATAGATTCTTCCATACTATATTCCACCTTTTAGACCTCGCCTTTATGTGAAAAGAGAAAAGAATTAAGTTTTTTCCTAATAACTATTTAATACTATGAATAAAAAAGCAAACGTCTTCCTAGATGAATGGCAAGACTATAATTTATGGACGAGCCAATGAAATTAAGACAGTACGTCTTGGATTTTTGCGCGAAATTTGTTCAGTCATATAGATAAGCAGCATTTCGGTATTAGAGCTAATGTCAGTTTGTGATGAAAATACTTACTTTGATTCCTAACTCTAAATTTTAATTTAATTCCTCATACTAATTTATAAACCCATTTTAACCCTAGAAAGTAGGTGGACCATTTCAAGGTCGCTTTAACGTCGCCCAAAAGTCATCCATAAATTATAGTCTTACCGTACTATGTATTCTATATTTCTGCAAGAAATATACAATTTATTATTCTATACTTCCTAATGTTGACTTTTTTCCACTGCTATTTTTTCTTCTTAGTTTTAAATGATAAATCATTATTATCTTGATCATTTTCTTTTACTTTATTTATTTTTCATCTGTTTGATCGAAAATGTAATACAATGGTTAAATACATTAATATATCAGATCTTATGATCAATTTAATTCTTCATTCGAATGAATATTGATAAGAGTAATACAAATAACTATATGTGAATTGTTTGGTCACATGTGTAATATATGAACACATAAACACTGTTGATAAATGTACTGACAATAGTTATATGTAGTGAAATCTTTACAAGATCTCTTTATATCTTTGTTAATTGTATGACTAAGTGAAGCACTTAAAGTCTTTACTGTTAATAAGTCTCGAAAGACAAGTAACTCATTTGTGAATAACATACGATGAAAAAATATTCACATTTGTTAGAAACATCAATTGATTAACATGAAATTTATTTTCAAAGCTTATCAAATATTTAGACTAAGGAACAATTGGTTGATGTTCTAATATTAAAGGCTGTAGTGAGGTGAAAATACTTTAACATAATATTACAGTGTATACTAACTGATAGAACAATTTATATAGTTATATCAGGTTATTAGATTAAGATTAACAGTTTTGAAGAATAAACGCTCGAAAAGAACATGTTTAAAAGAGAAATGAATGTTTTTCTCAATCTCATATATACTGTATTGAAAACTTCTAAGAACATACCCACTTAATATAAACGAGTCTGAAATAAAAAAGTTTTGCGATCGTCAAAATAAACGTGATAGGAAAACTTATCACCAATTTAGGAAGTGATCTACTAAGTCTAGAACAAACCTGTAGATAAATACAGATATGTTTCATCATCCAGGTGCTTTATCTAAAAAAATAGGCATTTAGACTATTTAGAACAATACGTGAAAAAGACTTACGATTAAGAAATCTCCTCAGATATATATATATATATATATATATATATATATATATATATATATATATATATATATATATATATAATGTGTAGAGTGATGATTATAAACTTTTATGTTTAAAGAGACGTGATAAGAAATAATAATTTCCTTATAATATATGAACAAGTGTCCTACTATTTTAGCCTTACTAAATTGTGTGTAATTTTAGATAGCTCATAGTTTAGCAGTTATGTGAACAATATCAGAGCTTCTGAAAGACTATGAACTCATCTTTCTCAAAACCTTTGCTGGCGATTATGTCAATAAAGATAGTAAAAGCTAAAAAATTAACTTACTCATCTCAAAGAATTCATGAATATCAAAATTATAAGTAAAGAGTACTTACCAATAATAATTATAGAAGCAACCTCTGAATATTAAGAAGCATTACACAGCTGTTTCATTCTAACATAGGACCCCCCCCCAGATGACCATATCAACAACCCAATACACGGCCGAATATGCAACTCTCACGCTTCAACATAAAAGCTTAAAATTTAGAACACTGCACCGGAATTCAATAGATTTTAATTCTAATTTCGATCAATTCGCAGTATGGTCCAGCGAGAGTATAATTTATGGACGAACCAATCACATAAAAAATGACAGAATTCGGATTTTGGCGCGAAATTCATTCATCCGTTTGGCTAAATAGTGTTTTGGCATTTTAGCTTATGCCGTTTTGTGATGAAAACCGGAATAATAATCTCCAAATATTTAATCCTACCGGTGTTGGTTAATTTGAAGTGGAGATTTTTCTAGGCTGAAACGTTGTGATAGAAACTGGTTTATATTCTTCCTAAACTATTGTTTGTTGTATTCTACCATTATATATATATATATATATATATATATATATATATAACAAATAATCTTGTTCAAAAGTAAACACCAAGAAAGTTCAGACACGGTCCACGAAACTTGTAACTGCTCCATTGAAAGCATGTAACACTCAAATAAACATCGGAAACTATAGAGTATTTCAGACTACATTCGAATTATTCCGTCTTCTTAAAACTAGTGGTGTGTGCCACTGATGTCGACAGATAGTAGTAGTATATCACCAATAGAAAGCGGGATGCCTGGTAGCAGAAGGTGAAGAAGATCGAAGAGAAGGGAACAAGAACAGAGAGTGATTGATATGGAAACGAAGAAACAGTCAAATCTGAGACAATTGATTGACATTTTGCAAATGGAGTATTTACTGTACGGTTCTCAGATTTTGTATTTGAATACATTTGATTGTCCCCAGTGGTGTTCTTGTTCACTACACTATCATTGCCAATTGGTTAATAACTATACTTAACGCATTTTCAACCATTAAATAGAAATAACACTCAATCAATTTCTTATACCAAGCAATATCTTGACTAGTCTGTTATCAATAGTCTGCCAATAGACATATTTTCGTGTTGCACAAAATAAGAAAAGAATACTGTATGAAGGAATTCAATACCCAATTTTATTTATTATTGATATTTCAAATATGATTTACGCACTTATATTGAATAAGAAATACTTAGGATACGAATATTTCATCAAGTTTAGTGTTGATTTCGATCAAACAGTTTGTTTTTCGAAATTCGTACATGGTTCAAGTCAATAAACTGCAATAAAGACACATTGAAAGAAAACAAAAAAGAAAATAGATTACATTTCGTACATATTCACAAAATAATGATAATCTGTTTCTGCTTTTGTTAGTTTTTCGTTTAGATTATTATCAAATTATTGATTATATTACTTATTCTGTATACGTAATAATCAGTGTAATTTCAAACAAGAAAAATTATATCCTTTGGCAATAATATTAATAAGTTTCGGTTATCATATATACGCTTTTGTATTGATTCATCGGTTTAGTCAATAATTCACGAGGCTGCACGTGCAATACCAGCTATAGCCATAAACATGAATACAACATCCACATAAAGTTGCATTGCACCAAATATATACTCTTCTGGTTCAAGTTCAAATTCTCTTCCACCCATTATTAGTTGTGTATCGTAAGCCAAATACTGTGAATAATAATAATAATAATAAACAGGATACAATGTTAAATAAATCTTGAAATGCCTAATCAAAAATATAAAGAATAAACTACTCATTAATTTTCAATGTTATATCAGTTAAATGATGCAGAATCTATTGAAATCATGATAGTTCCTTTCAAATGGTTTAAGTTCACATGTAATATCCCATTAGTAGATATTGATTTCTACGCTGAATGTTTAGAACACAATCTGGGAATAGTATTGATCAATGCATATAATCTATTTGTTTTCTTCTTTGATAGTTGACCAAAGTACTTTTATTGACATATTTGTCTTATTTTGTGAGTCGAAATAAAATTAATTTATGCCTTCTCAATCTGAGTTCAAATATTTACACAGCTTTACAAGTATAAATGTAATAATCTAATAGGACAAATTGAATTTATACATGGATCATTTATAAGAAATAATTTCAAATTGTTCTTAAAGCCTATCTGTCTAAAAATTACCACCTTATAGAAGCTCATATACATTTAGGTTTGTTCACATTTAATCTGTCTAAGCCCTTTTATTAACTTATTTAACAGATAGAGTCATTCGTACAACAACAACTTACCCATACATTGTACCTTTATTATTGTTCCGTTTGTATGAACATGTATGCTTGAGCATTGCTTACCGTCTACTCTCATATTCATTCTGCTAGCTTTTGTGTTAGTCGCTTAAATGATTTGATGACGCATTCAGTTCCCTATGTATGTATTTATATGTGCATTTCAATCCTGTTCATTCGACCAACTCGTTCGCTTGCTTACTCTTCAGCACTCGCATATCATTCTTGTTTCGTGTGCCTGTGGTTTTGGTGATCTATGTGTGGTACGATAATAAATTTAATCAACGCTTCGTATTCGTCTTCTGATTTATACACCGTGTACGTTATCTAGTAACGAATATCAAGGCGAGCAGTATATGAAGTTTAAGAATTATATGGAATACCGACAGCCACAACTTATATCTTATCACATTAGATAAATTATCTAATCATGAAATACAAATTTTCACAATTTCTGTTTTAAAACATCACGGTCATTTAGATTTTGTAAATCGATCACCTAATTATTATATTGTGCTGCTAAAAAGAAGAGATTAGTTATTTCTAACACAAACAGTTCTAATGTATAATTGACTTTGGGTTTTAAATTATCATGAGTCGATAATCAAAACATAGAGTATATGACGAATGTACGTTATTTTCGTTTTGGGACTTTTTAAAATGATAACAAATAAACATTTAAAACTCGGTAAACAGTTATTGTTTACAAACTCTAACAGAGCTATTAAAAGATAAAAATCTATGTTCCATTAGGTATAAATTCATTTTCCATAATAAATGGAACACTATACGGCTTGGTATAAAACTATAAGTCACATAATAGATGCTGATCTGGAAACTTAATCTCATAAGTACAACATAGATTAACATATCCTAATGTAGAAAAATCAGTTTTTTTTTTCATTTAAAACATCTTTCATAAATTCAAGTTACTATACCTGAATGTAGGTCTAAAGTTAAGATTATTCAAATAGAAGCAAATTTCTGGTATTAATTACTTATATCATCCAAGTAGTTTTGATAGTTTATATTACTCACTTATCCTAGTTGACAACCATCGAAATTAAAGAAGCACTACACATGTTTTGTTCTAGTATTGGACTCCTCACAAGTGCACATTTACGATCCCATTGAGGATCGAACACTAATCGCACAGGTTTCACGGTGAGCACTTAACCTATGGACTATTGAGTCGGGACCTAATGGTTTGTATATTTTAGTGCGATCCATGAACGATATATCAGATGCTCACTAGTAACTGATTTGAACCAACAATTTCAGAAGTTCTAGTAGTAAATTGTAACCAGTGATGTTCGAATATGTGTGGTGTAAGATAGTTACAGATCGACGGGGTTAGGAAATGATTGAGTCATACTTCGAATTGATCGAAATTAAAATTGAAACCAATTGAATTCCGGTTCAGTATTTTGAATTTTAAGCTTTCATGTTGAAGCGTGAGGGTTGCATATTAGATCATGTATTGTGTTGTTGATGTGCACATCTGAGTAGTCAATCTAAACGTCATAATTAAGGTGACGAGATCTTAGATTACGGGAACCTTTCAGAAATACACTCATCACAAAATATTAATTCCCAGAATGCACATTTGTTTGACCGATAACCGAAAAAAAGTAGCTAATAATAATGAGCTGATATCAAATAATATATTTATTAATGAATAAAGTAACTTACCAAACCAAATAATAGGGTTAGTATACCACTATAAACACCCTGTAGAATCTAGAGAAAAAATACATAAATGTGTAAAATCTATTCATTGATAACATCACTTAATTATAAAACATCACTGACCTATATATGTTCTCTAGTCATTGAGCCGTAAATTAAAAATAAAACAATCATTAGATTTACAAGGATGAACTTGCTTTCCAACTACCATTATTATATCCATAGATGGTAGAAAAAATAATTAATTTGATCAACATCGCATTAGCCTACCTAAACAAACATTAATAATACCAGTAATATTGTATGACTAGATATAGTTACATTGAAATTTATTTTCTAGTTTAGAGATTTCACTATTTTGTTAGTTTGAGTTAGTTTAATTCAGCGGCTTAACTGTCATGACAGTATTGATTTATTTTGCAAGTCACTAAGGGTATACGTGTTTAACACTATGTTTTAATTTATCTAGCATTTCGTGTCAAGAATTGATTCAGCTAACATATACCAAGTAATGAAGATTCAAGTGACATGTTGAGTTTTATCGTTTAAATCAAACCATCTGTTTTCATCGTATTATAATGAATTCATGTGACATGTATATGTGTCGATCTTGGGACTAAACAAAAAATAAGAAAATCAGTAGTTTGTACATTATTCATTCACGAATTGTTTATTTAAAGCATAAATCGATAGTCAATCGATAATAATGTTACTATATTGACTGACTATTGTGTGAGTTTCTATTAACAAACGATTTTGAATAGTCTTGACGTTAGATTAATAATCAATGAATCTACCATTTAGTAAACCAATTTTATAGTTACAGAATTCAAGTGTGAAGTAATATAACTACTGGGAAATTGACAAGTGTTTTCTCTGTTTCAGATATATCTATCGCATTATTTTCAATTAATAATGAAATGTTAAATAATTTAATTGACATCAACAACTCAGTAGTACAGTTTATTTCCACTTAAACTGAATTCAAAATGTTTAACTCTTAGCTATTCAAAGTTTTAGAAAAACAGATATAATTACCTTATTTGGTCCCAAAACAAAGTATACAATCATGATCGCAATCCCAGTAAGCATAACAACACAGCTAAATACAAATAAAAAACCAGAGCACATTGTAAAATCAAAACGTGTTTGCATTGCAAACAGAGTTATGCAGATGCATAGAGCAAATGTCAGTGCTACAGAAATTAAAGCTGCTTCAGCTCCGTAGAATGCACCAATCGAACCAGCCATATAGGATAATGCCAATGTCTAAATAAGCAAAGCAAAGAAATAGAATATTTGAAAATCATAAATAAACTGGAGTTGTCATTAACAACATTCTAAGATGAAGTGTTTAGGGTTATCTGTTGGTAGGAGACTAGTAAGTAAACTCCTACTAATTTACTTCACTTTAAATTTAGTATTCAAGCAGATTGATAAAAAATTTTAAGATAAACTAAACCAATCAATGTCAAAATAATTGATTTACAATCTACATAACATTCAATGTTGTGGAGTTGTGGATACGCGGCGCTGAAGAATCCCATACTAGGACGAAACATCTGTCAATTGCTTTTTATTTTTCAGTGGTCGTTTAACTAAGATCGCTCTGCAATTTGAAGTACGAGATTTCAAAATCTCTACAAACTCCTTACACCTTATAACTGTTTCAATAGATAATATCCTTTTAATCAGTAGGATTTAGGCTTCATGAAAGACGTTGCATAATCGTACGTTGATTATTCTTATATTAGATGTGATGCCTAAGACAGATATGGGTTCTCAAAGTCTTTTAAACTGGCTGTTATGTCTTCCTAATGATCTTTTATCATCTATCATTTAAAGCATTTTCTGAATGTAACACTTCAAGATGTTAGTTAGAAGTTTATCAAGTGAAATAACTTCACTTAAAAATATTGATTTCGAACATAATTCTAAATAAAAGACTGACTATAGATCACTTATTGGAGTAGAAAATCTGTTTTTCAGTTTTCATTTTTTCCTGAAGCAAAGCAGTGAAATGTAAGTGTGAAAATTTTTGATTATCAAACTTCGCAGAAATCGATAGAATGACTTGTTATCACAATGTCAATTTATTGAATGTTTCAATACACCATATGGAAAAATGATGTATTTAGTGTTAATACAACCGTTCATTTTCTAAAAAATAATACTATCGGAAAAAGGAACTTTTTATCGAAAACATGTACTTCAATTTTGCAGAAGTCAGCAATCCAGATGTCTATAATCAATACTGTTGTATATTAAAGTGTCTTGATTCTTGGTCTAATTAATTAACAGCAAAACTCTTTGGAGAATCGATGTCATATTACATCGACTAACTTTAATACCTAAGTCTAACAACACTATTTGATAAACACAGCCTGATGTAAAATGTATGAAGTAATTAATTTTACGGATTACTACAACTTTCCACTCTAGTCTTGTATCCAAAACATCTAAGTTATTTAAAATGTGTTATAGATTGCTTGACTGGTCAGTCGTAAATTTGAACCATGTGATGCTATTTCAAATTGGCGTAATATTTGTCTATTCTAACCACTGTGATGAAAACATACAAAAAAACGAGTATTCAATTTGGTAGTCCTTTATTTATGTTATTTTCGATTTTGCTGGTTTATGGTGTTTAAATAAATTGATAGTTCCCTTTAGTTTACCATGTCCTAGTCTTTATAAAATAGCGACGTTGGGCTGAGGAAACGATGGTTGGCGTAATCAATAAAAAAACAATTAAATTCTTAATATAAGTTTAGATTCGCCCCAATATCCAGATTATACGATTATTTCTGGGCGTAGAAATCTTTTATAGGTGATTTTCGTCACTATCTGAGATGAATTAGTGTACCATCGAAAGCTGCAGAGCACTAAACACTTGTTTTGTCCTCATATCAAATCAGCTGTCCTTGATTTTCACCCCTACAGGAATAGGATCCATACTCTTCAGGTTTTGAAGCAAGCACTTGTCCTAAGTTGGAATCTAGTGGTTCATATTTATAAATTTGACCAATTTCAAATGTTTAATGGCTTCGGGGCAATACATGTTTGGTAATGTTTGTCTCCTCGTGGTTGACACTTTAACCACAAATATTTATCAGCCTCGCAGTTCTCCATGTTATTTCGTTTATTCTCATTACGGAAATTAATAACAAATTTATATTTATTGACTGAATATTTCAAGTAATCACTCCGATATCACTTACAGTGATAAAATGCTTCCTAATAAGACTTTTAAAAATAAATACTAACCGAGTGATTGGAAGCTTTAAAATATAGTCTATGTGATTAAAAAATCAAACGGATTTTATTAACTATTTTTCTATCAATCAGTTTGATTCAAATACACTTACTCTTCTAAGTATTAAACCAAAAACTCAATGATCTAAAGTAAGTTTACAAAATCTCATTTGAAGCCCCGAATTGCTCAAACCACATCAGTCAAATATTTCTTAGATGTAAATCAGATATTTAAAGACGAGATGATTGATATAAAATAGCCAAGTAGATCTAGGTAAGTGAACAGTTTATGAATGATTTTTATGTGAGAAACACCAGGACATTTGATATAATTAAAATTTTCTGTTTGTTAGCTATCATGTATTGAAACAAGAAAATTGGAATATGATGTTAAAAATAAGAACGAAAACATTTCTGTGCATTTTCTTAGAACTTCAGGTTTTATTATGTAAATTGGATTTTCTGAAACTTTAAAACTGTTATCAACCAAATCATATGAGTTATTGATCAATTTACAATGATATTTTCTAAACCATGTCAACAGCTATCTTCAGTTAAATTTCATGATTTGATTACAAAAGTTCTACTGATAATAAACGGGTGAAGAGCCAGTCATTAAAACTTATCTTTCATACATAAGTATACCAATGCATTACCACTGTTGTGACTAATGCTTGTCCTTTATCTATATGATATTATTCTAGTAACCTTCATCAGCTACCATTCGACAACTTCGACAAATTCCCAGTCTTTAAACTATAATTTTATTTTCTGTAGAGAAACAATTTTAAGTTATATTTACTAACAAACCATCCAGAATATCCATAACCGATAAGAAGTGAATGAAAAAAATATCTGTTCATTTCAATAACATTGAAGTCCGATCATGAATACTTAAACTTTTTTCCAAAGTACCTCTTAATAACACATACATTTCATGTGGTCTGTTCTGTGTTTCTATCAGTTGATAACTAAAAAAAACTCAAAAGTAGTACTAACCCGAATCACTACAACAAGATTGAAGAGATGATAGTAATCAATAGCTGAAATGTTTGGGCAGAAAGATTTGAAACTGTTTAATATAGTGAAACAGTATTATACTACAATATTATTTACTATTCTCAATTTATTCACAGCTCCAGTTAATCAACTTTGGTGATAAAACTAAATATCTGAGAAACATATTAAAACAAACTGGCTATTTAAAAAGTACTGAAGTTAATCATATATTAACTTATAATAAACCTTTAATTAAATGTATACTGAACATCAGACTACCTCTAGAGCATAAAATAGTACTATAGTTTAAACTTAGTTAAATAATTAACATTATTATTGCATTCATTTATTTCTATAAGTGTTTAATAAAATTTAAATAAAGATGCTTCAGATTAACTTACAAATACAGTTAAGCATATATAATTCCCAGGGAATCTTCTACGTACACTTACAATACAGCCAAGTACTAAATACGTTACGAAAAATATTGCACTACATACAAACAATAAAAAATAGTATTAGTACCTCGAAAAAACAAAATGGTAATGAAATCATGATATCAAAACATTTTAGTTTTTTAATTAAAACCTGAAAATCACTAACAGTATTCTCTTATTGAATCAATCAATCCATATATATCACTGCAATTAATAGTATTCCTGAGATTTGAAAGCTTTTTTTAATATAAGCTGAATGCTTTGTTATCTTATCAATTAGATGTATATTTTCAAGTTTAATTTTATTGATATCACAGGTTGTAATTCAATGAGAATCAAAGCATGACATTTTCCGATTATTTTACATTTAAGTCAAATACTTACTAATTTACCATATTTTTATCATTTCGTAAAAAAAAATAAAAACTGCCCACCACAAGAACTACTAATTTTTGAAACTAAGCAATTAAAATTTATGTATAAACTTACTAGGCTAAATAGTAGAACCAAGGATTACGGCGGACCCAATTCGTCACAGGTTTACTAACAGAAATAGATTAGTTCAACTGAATATTGTTACTTACACAAGGCAAAAAATACAGACGATTCCAAATGTGAATAATAATTGTACACTAAGAGTAAAGTATACCTAGATAAGAGAAATTAAATAAAAAATCATGTTAATTTAATTATAATCAAAATTATTTAGTTGTAATGATGACATTTTAGTATTTTTGAACCACTATTCCTTTTAAATGGTGACGATTATGAAATTTTATCTGAATAGACCATCGGATTTGGTGGATTAGGCCGAAACTGTTTTTGGAAGTGCACGGTAATCTTAACACCGAACAGTTAGATAAGAAATGACAATCTGCTTTCAATAAAAACTACAGTTAAGTATTTGGAAAACTTATTCTTTCCTTAGAATATTGATAGTTCAACCCGTGAAGCATTCACTAACCAATTATCAAAAATATACTTGATTGAAACATTTAAGCAATCGGATGAAACTAAGTCTACTGGAACACGCCAACTTTTTGTAATGTAACTTACATGGGTACACTGTTAACGAACGATTTATTACAAGTTTTCATATGAATGAAAAAATCAGTTATTCGTTAAGCTAATGTCTTAGTTCTATGGTTACAGATTAGGATTCTTTTCGGCGAGACTATAATTTATGGACGAACCAATCAGATTGACGATAACAGGTCTTAGATTTTGGCGCGAAATTCATTCATCCATTTGGCTAAATGGAGTTTTGGCATTATAGCTGATGTCAGTTCGTGATGAAAACCCTAAATCTAATTCCTAACCCTAACTATCGAATGTAAATCATAATCCTTATTCTTCAAACTGCTTTATAACCGTCATTTAGCCCTAGTAGGTAGGTGGGCACTCTCAAGGTTAGTCTAGCATCGCTCAAACACTGTCTACAAATTATAGTCTCACCTTCGTTTCTTCAGTTGCTTTTGACCCAGTTGACAATTTGATATTTCAATGTTCATGTTGTGTTTATAAAAATACATTTAGCTTTTAATTCATATTGAATGAATCATTTTCCATGCAACTACCGCTAAAACATTTTGAAATAAAGTCAACTTTCATAACTTGAGGTTTTAGATATCTAATTTTTTCTTTATAGAATTTTATTAATAATCATGGCATTAGTTTAAAACTAACCTTGTTAAAAATACCATTGATAAAATATAACTTACTTTACGAATAAATGCATGACGAATTTTTTTATCACTAAAGCTTGATGAAGTGAATTGATTCTCCATGCGTCCACCTTCACCACCAATGTTGTTACTGTTAGAATGTGGATTTTCATTGTAATTTCCATATGGGTAACCATCTCCTCCTTTTCAAAACAACGTTAAATATAACATACACTATAAATATCTACAGTAATAAGTTAGATTATAGTACGTTATAAGGATTACATTTCTTTCTGTTTCAGAAAACTGATTACTCGATAATAAACTAATTTATGAGATAACCACTTTCTTATAGTTTGGCTTATTGAGCTGGACAAGCGATTTCATATCATCATTTAATGATTTTATGCTATAAACCATCCATCAAGTCTGTAACATTCAAATGGCATCATCAATTCTGCCATATTAGCTTTTGTTCAAAACCAGCCTGCAAGCGATTACTGTAATATTCCCTTTCGTTTAAATTCATTTAATCGTTTCTAGAAATCTTGTCATAGATTCATTAATGAGTGACAGAATATAGTCAACATAAAGTTATTCTTGACATACATATCGTGTTTTTTTAGCATCTACCGACCAGGCGCATAAGAAATGTCAAGGAAAATCAGTAAGCTCTACGTTTAACAGTCATACAGTTTTGTTTTCAGCAATGAGTGAAGCACAGATTTCTTTTTAGTTTCAATTACACCTTACTGTTGAGTACAAATAGGTATATAGTATACACTAACTTGCCTCTTATCATCTAACAAAGCTATTTTTCAATACTGATTAAATAAAAGTTTTTTGATATTGTAAGATTATCAGGTTTCATTTGTGTTGGTAAATTTGTCAGAAAAATAACATCTTCACTTGTTGAGTGCTATATACTCCTCTTTACAGTTCTCTATTTTCTATACTCACACACAAAATATTTATTTTAAAATAACTGTGATATTAGGTATCATGCTTCAAAATGCCACCAAAAGGAAAACATAAAATTAATTCATAAGAGTAAGTAAAACGGACAGAGCGCAACTAGATACTTACTAAACAAATCGTTAAGGCTTAGAGAAATATAGGAATTTGTGATAACCAGTCTCGAGCTACATAACTCAGCCTTCCTAACCACTCACCTTTATCATCTTAAAAACTCCACTAGCGAGTTCATTCACTTGGTTAAATTTATGGGGAGTAACTTTGATGAGTGGCTTCCAGTTCTAACATCATTCCCCTTAAAATATTTCCAACCAATTCTTATTTTATAGTATTAGTAAATATCAAAAAAATTTATAGCCATGTTTGTGAAAAATATGCATTAACTACAACAATGAATGCAGGTTCATAACTTTATCGGCTAACTAGACTGACCGCCCTAGAAACATACGTCCATCCTCTACATCTAACCTTTGGTTGTATTATCCGTGAGTTTAATGAGACAGACAATTTACAACTACGAAAAACTTATCAGTTTGATTTTCCACTAAATTCACCAAGTCAAATCGTGACAGAAATGTCAGAAGTTATTGAAGAAGTAAATTTTATACTACATATAATATTTATAATTTCATTCACAGTCATCATCAATTAATGCCAGTATCATATCTATTTTCCAACGTATTTCTATTCAAATAGCTATACAAGTTGTACACACGAAAATCGGTGCACAATATCTACACTGAAAAACACTTTTTCCATATAATACACAAAAAAAACATTTTTCCTTGTGAGCAAAGATAGATAATGGCTAGCGGTGGAATACAGGACGCGCGTTTCGTCCTATTTGGAACTCGTTGGTTGTAAATTAAGGCAATATCGAAGCAATACGCAAAGTATGCATATATACCAATAAGAGACTGATCAATTCAAGTCCTAAACATCAATGGGAAGATTCAAGTAAAACAATACCAAGTGAATTTTTTTATGTGTCGCATGATAATAAAATAATGGAACATTTTGAAAGTAAAAAATCTTCTTGAAAATAAGTTTCAAGAACTCAAAAATAATGTATTGTAGTATATTGTGCTTTTTTGATTAAGATGTATGATATTACTGAGCAGGATATTTTATCATATGAATGAGTAGAAGATATATATCTATAGAAAAGTCAGTTATTTCTTTAACGGATTATTAATATAATGTCTATAATTGTAATGCTACGTTTCACTGTTCCCAGTGAAAGAAGATAAACAATGAATTTCAAGAGAAAACTTCAAAAAACTATCACATTTAGAACCAAATCAAACATTAAAAAGAAATTTATATAGTATTACATGTTTAAAATGCCATTAGATCAAATGACACATCACAGTTCTCTTGAATCTTAATGTCTAAACATCCATACAAATATCCCAGATCGATCTTAAATGCAATTAAAAAATGTTCTGTAAAAGTAGTAGAAAGTTCTCATATAGTTGAAGTCAACAGGGACAACCAAGACTATTAGGCGAAACGAAATGATTTTAATAAGTTGATCAAACCTATAATTACAAAGTATTTTGCATACATACTACAAGCATTAATGACAAGTATTCAGGCACTTATATTTTGATAATAATGTGTCATTATCGACTTCGGAATTTCAAACCACTAGACATCAGAAAGCTGGGGAACCTGGAGATGCTATTTCCTGTTATGGGACAACCTTCTTCAGAGTGAGTAGTATAGCTAAAATATAATTAAAGCACTATATATGATGGCTTGTCGATTAAAATGTAAAGATGGAACGAACACAGCAGGACAATCATAAACTAACATGTGTAAAAATATTATACCAATTCTTTCAAATCCTGTTTCTGAATTTAGAACTGAACAAGTAACGAATTTTTAGATAGCATTATTCTACTCATTAGTTTAACCTTCACTATTAATGATAATTACATCTCAAATAAATTCATCTCACCTTGCCAATATGGTTGAGCTGGATATGGACCTTGTGGTTCGCTTAAGTGTGGTGGTGGTGGTAATCCATATGGATATGGTGGTTCGTTGTATGGTGGTTGGAACCGCGGATCGGCCATTTAAGATAAATTGGATTTTTCTTCCTTCAGGATCTAATTATAGTAATATTTTCTTGCATAAGGAATGTTATTGTAACCTTACAGTGCATATATATTGGAAATTAGAATGACTTTAACCTTGAAATTATTTATCGAAATTAAACTAATTAATGTAAACCTACACCCATATGCTCTGTCTAAGGATTGGTTAATAACATAAATCAATAAATCACCATGAGAACAATTGATCAACATATCTCAACAGTGGATTCAATTATTGATTCTAAGCTTTTATCACGTGTTCTAAATCCTTTTTTCTGTAACCTGTTGACTGATCTTTAGTTTGCATCTTACTTCAATCTTCATTTTCTAAACAATGGAAATGGTTTATAATCCACACTCACGCTTTATTTATCTACTATAATGCTCTAAAGATTCTGAAAATTGAAGACATAATAAAAGACATATTAGACAAGTGAAGATGTAGCCTAAAGCTCTTAATCAATTATAATTTTATATTGTTTGATCAACAGATAGTAAGCAATGTCAGACTTGTCTATTCTTTATCACTAAGAGATAAGATAAAGCCGACATTGGTTACCATTCAATGGTCACTCTTAGTCCTATCGGAGTCCAAAAACATTCCAGATGGCTCATTTCGGTTCATAGCTACTGATTGATTGCTTCCAATAATTTAGCATCAAAATCTGTAATTTATTAATGTTAGGTAATTTTATGGAACTTGACGGGAAAATCTCCAACCTACAACAAATCTTTTGTTTTCTAAAATCGTTTAAGATGTATTTTTAAAGCTAATTTTTATGATCACACTCAGTATGAAAATATTTAGATATAGATGTCAGTAAACTATGTTCTTTATAACAATTATGTAGACCTTTAAAAATTTCAACTAAGTAAACAGAAAGAAAGATATTTTGACGTTGATGGTAACTATCAATAAGGAGTATCATCAGTAGACTGGTAAGCATAATTAACAACAAAATCGTACTGGTCGGAGTCCTTATATTTAATGAAAAACAACGATAACAGTGACTAAGAAATCGGTGGAGTCTAGCTGCGATCTGTTTTTTACTTGGTACTAAAAAAACATATAATATGGAAGTTTCATAAAGTGAACGCTAAGTGAAAATTAATCGTTTTCAGATGAAAATTTACCCAACTTGTCGGATTAGTTCCTAGTTTTTTAGATCTGACGATGACTCTACTTTGTTTAGTTAACAAACCTTACAGCCATGTCAACAAATACTTTGTGGAATAATTGCCATTATACATGATTTATTTACTACTAAAATATAATAACCGACCTAGCGTCTACAACAAAATGTCCACCTTCATTTGTCTTCTCAAAATAATCCATGCCATAAGTAATAAAAACATATTTCAAAAAATCGCGAAAATTTACTTCTGAAAGCATTAAGAGGAAGGTTTAGATGGTAGTTAATGTATCATACCCTCTACCTTGGAAAGAGACAAAATTTGAACTCCCTAGAACAATGTTGTCACTATACGGATAGTCTGTAACTACAGAAATAGAAGCCACTTCAAAAATTTACACTTAGCCTTAAGATTCCTCTCTGTATGAACATATATTCAGTTATTTTTATCGACAATACATTCTTCTTTTCATTTATGCCTTGTGTTGATCCAAGATTCGACATGTTCTCTCGTCGAATGCTAATAATCGGGTTTTACTGTGGATCTTATAAGTATATGTGTCTAAAACTTTAAGCGTAGTGATGTCGTTTAAAATATTTCAATGTATTACTACCATGTTTAATCTTGAGTTTACTTTTTATTATGCAACAAACAGTTTGACAGATTGTGGTCTGTGACAATCCTCTTTACTGACTACAAGTAATTGCAATAGCACTCATTTCTTAACAAAATGAACAACAATATCTCAATAAGGCTAGATATACATTGCTTTTAAGGTCCTTTCAATTGAAAACTGATGTCAGCTAGAAGACTGCTGAAAACCAAAGGACAATTAATCGATTTTTTGTTTTATTTTGGTATTCCTTGATGAAATGTGCTCATTAGGCTAACAACTTCCAAATCTCAAAATACAGTGGTTCACATTTCTAATTTGAATCTGTTCATCAAACACCATGGTCTTTATTAAAGGTAATCGGTGAATTACTATTTCACTTTCAAATTGATCGACTTCACAGGCTGCAGTTGTTTGAAGCTCCATGGCTTTCAACAGCTCTATGATGGACATTAACTGCCATCAAAATATGAAAAATTCCGTTAAATCACTTCAATATACATTGTCCGTCCAATAATTAGTATTAATCGTAACTCGATTATCATATTTTCGATAAAACGGGTAACCTTTTAAAATGTCTACTTCTTTTTCAATCTGATAGTCAAGAATTTAGTAGTAAATGGTTATTTATTTATAATGGTAAAGTCTTAAATAAATTTTAAAGTACTTCTAACACCAAAATGTCTGAATATTTGCATAAGACTATAAAACAACACTCAATCAAACTATTACCTTCCATTTTTAAATCTAATTCAAGAGTTTGCACTATCCCTAGAATAATGATGCATATCTTCGTAGTAGCTAAGTGGAAAATGGGCTAAAATATAACTGACTAAATCATATACTTCAGATAATAAATTATTTGCTGCTTCTGTATAAAGACTTTCAAGACAAAAAAGAAAAAACAAAGACCATTTTAATAAAAATTTACCTCAGGAGATAAAGACAAAGTACTTTGATAATGTAAATCTTCATCGACTGAGATAGTTGGGCCACGTGTTGCGTATGCCCGAACACGATTACCACGACGCGCAATGCTGACTAGTGTCGGAGATGATTGGAAGAAAGTTAGGGGTGGCCAAACCAAAATATGTCGTCATTCCTTGAAGCCACTAACTTCTAGTCTTAGCCATGTTGGTAGACGCAGACTACTTGGTTGGGGTCCACGTGACTACCGTAACCAATGGTTGGAAACTCTGTGTGACATGGCTCAGAATCGATCACAATAGTGTAGGTGTATACACTCTCTGTCTTCCTTTAAACTATGAGATTAAAATTGCTTTATATCTTTCTTTCTACGAACTAATTTTTTCTTCCTGTAATATATCCTTATACACAATCTTTCTTTTATATATCACCACCACTGAATTAACCACTTCTGTGAATCCGGTGTTCATCTTGCTGTGCTAATGAGGTATGGCAACTTGGACCGCCGCATATATGTTCCTGGTCCTACGTTGTAGCTGACTGACTGACTTAATTTTATATACTTTAAAGAAGTAGTCGGTTTTAATTTGACATCTTTGTAACACTTACTAACATATAGATTAGTAATTTACACTTAAGTTGTAAGAATAGTTAATGATGTAAACAAATTCTGTAATTGATTTAACTCATCAATGTTTAGCTACACATTTACAATTTTGATTATGTTCACTTATTCTACACTTCTAATGTTAACTTCCTCTGTTACAAATTTTATTTTATTTTAATACATTCAATCTCAATCGTTAAACTCAAATTTAATTATAAAGTTTTATTCATCAAAATCAAAAATTTAATAAACTCAATTTGCTATTGTAATTAAGTTAAATAGCATTGAGTAATATTTTATTAAAAACTACTGTACCATAAATTATTTTTCTATCTTGTGAATATGTAATTGAATATCTTCAAGATAATTCCCAATCCTTCATATATATCAATCATCTTGAGAATTGTTATCATATAACTCCCAATGGTATATAAGTTTCAAAAGACAATATAAACTCTTGACTACAGTTTGATATTGTATAGCACAGATCACAAAGCCACAAGCAAGCAAAGCGAATATTAGTGGATACGAGTAAGTAAATAAGGGTGAATAAATTAATAAGATTTAAGAAGCACATATGTAGGAAAACAGATGATTCATTGAACAGTTTAAGTAACTAACACTTAAGCTGTTAAGAGGAGTATGTATGTGACTGTAATACATGTCAAGCATACATACTCATAAGGATATGATAAAAAATCAAGAATATAGATAAACCGTTACTGTTCTAATGACACTGTTAAATAAGTTAATTAAAGATCCTAACAAATTTAAATGTATACAGACTCGAGTGTATGTGATATGCAATAGATTTTATAAATGTTGATCTTTATAAAGAAAGTATATCATTGTCCTTTAAACGACAATGGCTAAGTTGCAAAGACAGCTCAATAATGTAAAAAAGTATTTTAATATCGACCATACAAACTATGATGAATAGCGTCAAAATAATGCATTGAAAGAATGTTTGGAATATTTGCATAATACTCGTATTAACACTTATTCAAATAGCGTTGTCAGTTTTGTTTGACTCTATAGTTAATTGATTCTTTTTAGCTATATTACACGAAGAATAATCCGGGAGAATTACAAACTTCCATAATGTTTTGCTAGATTGTTTTTTTATTTCATTTGTATGCTTGTAGAATATGTTAGATTTTGTTAGACTGTACAGCACATAATCTTAGACTTAGTCCCAGAGTGAACATCAACTCTGAGATGCAGGTACATCCAGCTGACGAGTCCCAAATAGGCCAAAACCCGCGTCCTGGATTCCACTGCTAGCCACTATCCATCATTGCTTACACTACAAAAATCTTGTGAATTAAGGCAATATCGGGGCATACACACAGTATGCACATATGCCATAAACAGACTGATCAACCGCAGTCTTAAACCTCAATGGGAAGACACAAGCCAAACAATACCAAGTGAATTAGTCAACTAAAGCTTTGATGAATTTCTCTTCGGAACAACGTAATTTTACGTCTAGATTTAGATGTAGAAGCATATGAAACTGTTAAGTATGAGGTGATACACCATAATCGTCTTTCTTTCTGTTATAAGAAACATTAACCATGAACAGTTCTTCATTTTACTGCAAATAACAATATCAGTTTTTGTTAGTAATTTAATGAATAAGAAAGATTATCAATTGAATTACAAAAAAAAAAATAATAAATAAATAAAACTTTTCTATCTTATAAAAGTTCATTTTGAGCATTTTGTAAAATTAATGAAGCATAGTTTCTTGACCACTGATCAATCAGTTTGTTTGAGCTTCAGTGTCTTAGA